AATGATACCTTATCCATGGATCTTACTGAATTCCATAATTTTGTCCGCAAAACTTGCCCTATTTGTACACAAGTATATACAGTACCTAGCTGAAAGCATTGTTGAAAGAGGAAAACTGGGTGAAATGAAAAACCCAGATAGGAGACCAAGTTCACTGCCTGTGTTTTGTGAAGGACAGATTAAACTGTGTGAAGGCGGCTGTCTGATTAAAGATCCTCCTGAAATCCAGAAGGTTAAACGTTTAATTTTTGGTGTTTTTAATAATAATAATAATAATAATAATAATAATAATAATAATAATAATAATACAAGTTCCCAGTACTAAGGCTTAGCTCTCTCCTCCCAACATTTAAAGCATTCCTTCCTTGGTTTCACATATATGTCTTAATCTTGCCTAATTGTATTTGACATTGAAAATCTCTAAAGCTTTTTTGTTTTCCACTAGTTACTAATTGCAAAATATGCCAGGTAACATAAGGGCAGGAGGTGTTGGTATAATTAAAAAATATATGTGTGTGCATAACTTTTTTTAAAAAAAAAATCTTATCCATTTAGGTAGTGACTTTCAATTAGCCTCTCTGCTAATATCAGGTCACTAAACTCCATAGCTGATGCTTTATTCCTTCATTTGGGTTGTCAGTCGTTTGCTTCAGTTGGCTGGCAAAGGTGGTTGTATATCCATTACGAGCAACACAGCACTTTGCATTTCTGAATTGACAAGCAGCTATATTGACCTAGCGCTTATTATGGGTCAACAGCTGCGTTAACCAACGGAAGGACTGAGGGGCAATTAAAATGAATTGGCAAAAATATATCTTCCTAATTTACTCCAATTTGTTATTTATGCTAACATTGTATGGCTTCTATGGTGACACTAAACAGAATGGACCCAATAATGGCAATTAACATAAAAATATAATGGCTAATCAAATTGACAGCAACTGTTTCTCATCATCTCGACACACAATACATTATCAAAACAAACTATTATGAAGGAGGTAATTTCAGTGTTCTATTCAACCTGCTGCATGTGTGCAGTCAGGGAGATGTGTACCAGCAATTACTGCTGAATCCAAAAAACTAAACAAATAACTTAATCGCTGTCGTCCTCCTTTTTTTTCCTTCTTCAGGAAGCAGTAATCAGGATTTACTAAAAATAAGTGGTGTATAATAGTATAATGATGATGCATATCATAGAATAGCTAATAAGGAATAAAATAAGCTTCTGTGTTATATAAAATTAATTCATGTAAAGGAAGAAAGATTAAAAAATAGTATTAGATACACAAAAATAACTTGAAATGTAGTTTGTTTTTTTTAAATGACCAGGTCTATTTGTTATAGGGACTTCCAAAATGGTCTGGTTTTATTAATAGTACATTCTCTATTTACATAGAATTTTGACGTTAGTTGAAATTGAATTATGACAGGTAATGTTCTTTTCTTTTACTAATGAGTAAAAACCCTTAACAATGTGTGGTCGTGAAGGTCAATCATCTTTAGTTCCAGTGACCACCCCTTGACCTAAGCCATGATATAGGACATCTGAAGCATTCCTGGCCTATGCCTGCCAAATTTTGACTTGAAACTATATCAAGAAAAGTATTCAGAGATTTGTTTTCTGGCCTTCCATTCAATTGTCAAAACTACTACAAATTTGTCACTTGAATTAATACAATGCTACCTTTTATGCAGTTCCAACAGTGGCATTTTCTACTATATGTAATAATTATTTTTTATTCTGCCTAAAAATATCTTGAAACAGTTCATAGACATCAATTAAAACAAAATAATGTATAAATCTTAAAAAGAGAAACAAAACCCACAGCAGAATTAAATTTCGCATTAAGTTGTTGGGAAATGCCCAAGGGTAAAAAAAGGTAAAGATATACGCATATCTTCAACCATTAACCATCACTCAGTAGCTATTTCCAGATACTTCCAGATTTTGAGTTGACAACATAGGAAGAATTCTACTGGCGCAGATTAAAGGCTTCTCTAACAAATCCTGTTTCATAGAGTACATCTCTTTCCTCTCGGTGGTCAACCAAGTGCCTGTTGAAAGATCATAAGCAGGTCATGGCACCAGTAGCTCTCTTCTGTTATAAACTACCACCTTGAAGAGCAAGTTAATTAACATGTGAAATTTCTGTTTACTTCAAGTTGGTATTCACAGACAGTATATGTATACTGTGGAATTAATCTTGACTATTCTGTCAATCTTAATAAAGTTGTCAATGATCTTTGATGACAAGAAGGGTCAAACTCTCCAAAAGATCCCTTGAATATCAAGGGTATTCTAGTTACTTTGATAGTTCTTGAACTGTTTTTATCCTAGATAAAGAACTAGGTAATTAATTCTGAATGGTCAGCTGTTTAAATTTATTGCAGAAAAAAGCACACAACCTCCGTTATACCAGCTCCACTAGTTGCCAGTCTGCTTCCAGGCACAATTCAAAGTGCTGGCTTTAACATATAAAGCCCTAAACGGTTCCGGCCCAGCTTACCTGTCTGAATGGATCTCCCTCTATGAACCACTTTGGAGGTTAAGATCCAGGCAGGCCCTGCTCTTGGTCCCACTCCCCTTGCAGTTGCAACTGATGGGAGATGAGAGACAAGGCCTTCTCAGTGGTGGCTCCTCGACTATGGAACTCCCTCCCCAACAAAATTAGATCAGCAACCTTCTTCCTGGCCTTTGGAAAAAAATAAAAACTTGGCTATGACACCAAGCCTTTGGACAGTAAGCAATACAAGGAATGATCAGGGATTATATGCAATTGGAACATGATTTCTGGATTATGTGATTTTAATGTTTATATTAATATGTTTTAAACTCCCGTTTTAATGTTTGAATGTTGTTACATTTTTTATGATCTAATTGATGGTTATATGAAATTGTCATTTTATGTTAGGTTTCATACGTATATGAGGCATTCCATTTTGCCATAAATATGTTGGAACCGCTTTGAGTCCCATCCCCCCCCCCATGGTTAGAAAAGCAGTATACAAGTGAATAAATAAATAACGTATTTATTTTGTCATAACTTTCTATGAATGCAATCTACTTTAGTTGTATTTTAATAGTTTAGAAGGCAGCAGATTTTCAGTAATGAGTAGTACTTGTATGCTCTTTATGTAGTTTCACATTATGTAAAGAAAGTAAAGGTACTGCACAAACATTTTCCCCATCATTCCTTTCACCATGGGAAATGCAATGTGAAGGCCAATTTCATATTTCCTAAGTGTTTTTCCAAGAGTTTTAAATGTAATATTCTGCTTCTGTATAGCTTGCCTTTATTTGAACCATTGTGGGCTGCATTAAAGCAATATATGAAACTAAATTAGAGAATGCTATGTTTGATCTGTAAAGATACAAAGTAGTACTGAATGTGTGTAATGACTAAATGTAGTCAGATGATTCAGCTTTATCTCTATAGTATTACTAAACATTTAAGAATGTATGAATGAATAATTATAATCTATCCTGTTTTATGAAGCAGCTGGCACTGGTTAGCATTGGAGATGGGTATGGATTTTAAGAATGAAAGTTAACTGGAATTTCTTGTCAGAGAAAACAACTGCATTCAATTAATGGTAGTATATTCATAGATTTTTTTGTTAATGAAGTAAAAGGACTTACCCATATTGATGAGATACGATACAGCAACTTTGGGTGGAGTCCATGTGTGTTCTTGTTTTTGTCCTGTTTTAAGAACTAGATAATTTTTGAAAATGTTACTGTATACCATGTTGTACTTGTCCATTAAGGACCAAGTAGCAACAGTAAGAACTGGCTATGGAACAACAGACTGGTTCAAGATTGGGAAAGGCATACGGCAGGGTTCTATACTCTCACCCAACCTATTCAACTTGTATGCAGAACACATCATGCGATGTGCGGGGCTTGATGAATATGAAAACTGCTGGACAAAAATAACAACCTTAGATATGCAGATGACACCACTTTGATGTCTGAAAGCGAGGAGGAGCTGAGGAGCCTTTTAATCAAGGTGAAAGAAGATAGAGCAAAAGCTGGGTTGCAGTTAAACATAAAAAAACCCCAAGGTGATGGCAACAAGAATGATTAGCAACTGGAAAATAGAGGGAGAAAACATGGAGGCAGTGTCAGACTTTGTATTTCTCGGTGCAAAGATTATTGCAGACGCAGACTGTAGCCAGGAAATCAGGAGACGCTTACTTCTTGGGGAGAGAGCGATGTCCAATCTCAATAAAATAGTGAAGAATAGAGATATCACACTGGCAACGAAGATCCACATAGTTAAAGCAATGGTATTCCCCGTAGTCACCTATGGATGTGAGAGCTGGACCTTAGGAAAGACTGAGTGAAGGAAGATAGATGCTTTTGAGCTGTGGTGCTGGAGGAAAGTTCTGAGAGTGCCTTGGACCGCCAGAAGATCCAACCAGTCCATACTTCAGGAAATAAAGCCCGACTGCTCATTGGAGGGAAGGATAGTAGAGGCCAAGATGAAGTACTTTGGCCACATCATGAGAAGAAATGAAAGCTTAGAGAAGACAATTATGCTGGAGGAAATGGAAGGAAAAAGGAAGAGGGGCTGACCAAGGGCAAGATGGATGGATGGCATCCTTGAAGTGACTGGATTGACCTTGAAGAAGCTGGGGTGGTGACGGCCGACAGGGAGCTCTGGCGTGGGCTGGTCCATGAGGTCATGAGTCGGAAGCGACTGAACGAATGAACAACAACAACAACTGTATACCATTTAGCTTACGTGCTGAATGGTATACTATTTAAATTGGTACTCCCAACTAGAGTAGACTTGTTGAATCAATTGGAACTTGGTAAGTCATCATTTAGTATAAGCTCAATCGATTCATTGAATGTGTTCTAGGTAGAACAAGCAACAATGGCCATTGTGAAACTGAACAAATAAAGAGTAAAATAGCGTAATGATGTACAAAAGTTGTAGCTAAGCATGGTTTTCTTTCAGCATTGTTACATGTGTGTTCTTTTTACTTTGCAGTATTCTGACAAGGCCCTATTTACCCAGCTGTGCTTCTACCGGTACATTTTTGATGTGGACTATGCAAAGCAAAAGCTTACTAATCAGGAGAAAGGTATGTTAAAGTACAGTTTTACTCTCCAATTACTCTGTGCGTTGTGGACATTTTCACCACAAAAGGCTGCCTTCTTCTGTTTTGCTATTCCAATTTGCATCATTATGTTAACATCCTCCACAAAAAGCTGACTGCAAAGAATTCTGCATAAAAGGAGGCTGCATGTTATAATAATCAACTGTGCATTATCTCGTAGAGGAGAAAAATCCTAGGTGTGGAGACCATATTAAGCTCATTTGAAAGGTTCAGTTTGAGTGGTAATTTTTCCTTGTACTTTGCTGAAATATTCTTTTTGACTAATCTAGTACAAATAGTTATATGATTAACATTATAATACATGTGCTTTGATAGACAATTTTGAGTTATCTACAACTGTGTTCACCTAACAATAACTTTCACGAATACTTTTTAATAAATAATGTTATTTCTTTTTTTATTTATTTGCTAACAGTCACATAATTTGATCAATTTAAAACAAAGCAAATACAAAACTAAAAATATAATTGAACTGTGTATGTTAGGTTAAAATATAGTTAGAATACAATAAACACAATTAAAATGCATTTTAAAATACACAATCACCCTGCCCCCCCTAAAAAAAAATCCCGCCCAGCAATGTGTCCCTTATCCTTCTCCAAATGCCTGCTTGCAGAAAAAAGTGTTAAAATGCTTGCAGAAGGCCTATGAATGTTCTGTTAGTGTTGATTGTATCAGCCATTTGCCACACTCATAAGATTTTTTAAAAAAAATAGATCTACATTTGGTAAATTTATAAGGTAAATCTATATGCACTTGCCATTTAGGAAGAATGTAGTCCAAATTTATGGCCTTTTTGAAGAAGATTATAATATTGTGTTATATGCTCCCAGTTTTCCAAAAAGTGTCTAGTTAATATTCTTAAGAGGGCCCATATAGTGTAATGGTTTGAGCATTCGACTAAGACTCTGGGAGACCAAGTTTTATGTAATTATGATGTTGTTGTTTATTGTTTGTGTTTTTGGTTTGCGTTTTCAGTTTTACTCTGTTGTAATTTGTTGTTTGGGCTTGGCCTCATGTAAGCCACCCTGAGTCCCCATCGGGGAGATGATGGCGGGGTATAAATAAAGATTATTATTTATTATTACTATTAAGTTTCAAATCCCTGTGAGCCAGGGAAACCCAGTGTGACTTTGGGCAAGTCACACTCAGCTTCAGAGGAAGGCAGTGGTCCCTCTCAAAACAAATCTTGCCAAGCACACTCCATAATAGTTTTGCCAGAAATGACTTCTTTAATACAAAAGAACACAGTATTTTAAAATAATAATAACACTGTTCAATTGAGAAAAAGTTGCAGGCCTGAAAATAGTTGTTCTTTTATGATTTTGGGGTGCTGAAAACGAAAATGACATTTAAAAATGTATATTGGCTCTAGTTTTTATGATATAAGCAATCACGTGATCACGTATGGTTGAAAAAATGCATGTTGCGACTTACACTATGGAAGATTCTAGAATGTTCTAGAAAGTTTGATGACGCAGTATTAGCCAGAAAGCCCTATATAAGGCCAGACTTTTGAACGGTGAGGGTCAGTCAGTTGAAGACTGAGACAGTATAGTTAAACATCGTTTTACATAGTTCTTTTTACTTTAGTTATGCCTCGCACGTGTGTAAATAAAGCACTATGGAAAAAAGATATCAAGGTAAATGGACTCTGTCAGTGCTGTCAGACTACTGCTGGAGCATTGTAAGAGACAATCCTTTCCTTGAATACAAAAGAAAAGTCAAGAGAAGCAAACAGGATATAAACTAAAGTCACGATTAAAGCGACATTTAAACTTTCAGACTTTTCAACTGCATTAGGCCTACTAATATAGTTTCTTGCTGCACAAACATAAACAATAGACTAATTAAATAAATATTTCTCATGTATAAACTATTGGCAATATAATTTGACTAAAATTTAGTAAATATTCACGGTTTATGTACATGCAGTAAGGTTAGGCGCATTATCATAATATTAACAAATTACCTATTGTGGAGAAAATTGAAATAGCTGTTGCATAAAAACCAGAGCCAATTAACACATTTAATTATTATATTTGAATTCAGCATGTTAAATTTATTAAGAAACGGCACATTTTGTTTCCACAACTGAGAAAAACTGAAAATTTGTAGAACAGTGTAATTATTATTAGGTAGTGATACCTTTGCTTTCTGATGATTCAGTACACCCAAACTTTATTTCATGCACAAAATTGTTAGAACGATAGTATAGAATCAGCTTGAGCATTCAACAAGGACTCTGGGAGACCTTGTGATAGTTATACCTTTCCTTTTTGATGGTTCAATATGCACAAACTTTGTTTCATGCACAAAAATTGTTAGAACTATTGTATAAAACCACTTTAAGGATCTGAATGTAAGATGTGTGTGTGTGTGTGTGGAACGTAACTCAATTGCATGTTTAGACACAGATTCCCTCTCCAAGATAACCCATTTCATATTCATATGCAGGTATTACAAAATAAAGAAAATCCAAAACACTTTTGGTCCCAAGCATTTTGGATAATGGATGCCCAACCTGTATATGGTTAAGAGGGCAAAAGGAATTCTTTCCCTTTGACTAGTCATGTATATCTCTGATACATGATATGTCTAAGAACATACTTGTTTTTTGGGTGAGTTGGATAGGTACAGATTCATTTACTACCACTAAATTATTATACATATTTTTAACCTGTTCATTATAGTAGGGCAAAGGCTGGCAAGCCTGTAACCATCCCAATAACCTTTCCTCTTGACAAGTGTAATATAGCAGAATTCTTAAGAGTGTTTAGTTCCTGAAAATAAAGTATGAGTCACAGACTTTTGTGCATTACTAGTGTTGTGAAATAATGGAAGACCCATATAACTGGTGCGGTTTGACATCAGACCTGAGGACAGAGAAATTTGCACATAACAGAGAGGTCTGATGTGGTCTTTGCCCTCAGGATAACAACAAACCAAACCAATTATATGATATTGTTCAATAACTACCACCATGTTTTGCTGCTCTGTAGTACTTCCTGTCTTCCATCCTTCTTCCATCTTTATTGACAAGTGTTTGGAAAATATTTTTGAAATTCATTAAGCAAGAATTTGCCTCCAGGCAGTTTCTGAAAAGATAGCACAATGGATGCTGGATCTGTCCCCCAGTGAAGGGACAGCAGGAGATCTCGGTAAGAGTAGAAAGCTGTCTTTTAGGCAATAGACATAAACCGTCTGGAGAGTAATAAACAAAAACATCATTTCCAAACTGAATATCCACCACATGTTTTAAATGCAAAACCCACCAACCTCAACTAACCTGGCCAACAATAAGTCATTGTGATGAATGAGATTCAAAACATTTGGAAGACATCAGGCTTGGGAAGACTGGTTTAAATGGTATTTTGAAGAGCTGACCAGGGCAGTGATTTTAGCATGTGTTATACCTTTTGTTCAAATTTCAGTTCTCCCATACCTTTATGCTTTAAATCTGTTAACCCAGCAGAAGAAGATACATAACACTTTAGCAGTTACATTTTTCTGATGATGAGACCCTGAAGTTCCTTCTGGTGTCAGAATAGTGTCTGAAAGCAAAAATGGAAGGTTAGGCTGTACTAAAACATCTGTTGATTGAGACAAGGTCAGATATTAAAAGCATTGTCGCTACCTTTAGAGGGTATTTTAGTACTTACTGAAATCTTTATGCTATTCATTTGTAAACTCTGGATTTATCAAACAAACTAAATGCATGCTCAGTAAATACTTTTACACAGTTATAGCAGCATTTTACACTCCCACTTCCATAAAAATACTAAACATGTTCAGTTTACTTTCTGGATGAATAAACTGTAAAATTGCATTTAGAAAAAGGAAACGGTTAAGCTGTATGACCTACATGCAAAACACAAGATCTAACTTTGAATATTTGTTTGTATCCTGTAATTTAAACATCGTTTTCCCCTTCTGTGTTCATAACTTCATGTTCCAAATATCAGTACAAAGTGATTTTTTTATGGATGACTTGCTAGAAAGCTTTACAAGGAGACAATTCATAATGGCAGTATTTCTCTGAGTTAGTAATGGGCTCCTCTTCAATACATCTTTTGTCAGCAGCTTATGATTAGTCAGAACGGTATAGGCAGAATATAGCTGTATTTCAGAAGAAATCTAGAATGTAATCTAGAATGGATGGCATGGTGGTTTAAGTTTTGGAATATGACACTTCAATTCCCTGCTTAGCTGTAGAAATCCACTGTATGACCCTGGCCAAATCATACTGTCTCAGAGGAAGAGAAAGGCAAACTCCTTCTGAACAAATTCTGCAAAGTAAACCTTATGACAGATTTGACCTAGTGTCACCACATGTCAAAAATTACTAGACGACACACAACAATAACAGTGCAGCATTTAAAACATTTCCATACACAAGTTGGACTGCTCTCAGAAAGTATGGCTACACCTTTGAGTGCAAAAACATTTGGATGCAAAAGAACTTTCACGTTAGAATAATACGTTGAAATGTCAAATGTTTAGGAAGGTGGGGTTGTGACCTAAATCCAATTGCTAGAACGGAACCATTGAATGAATTACTGAATCATAGAACAACATGCCCATGAATCCCATTGCTTCAGTGGGTCTGTTCTAAGACCCTTGAATGCAAGTTGGCATGTAAATATTTTAATAAATAAAAGAAATAGCACTCTAGTTGGCAGCAGCAATTAGATTTAGAACCAATCTCATCAAGTGAGTAAATGAAGTGGATATGAAAACAATCTCTGTACTATCAGCTACTAAAAGTGCTTGTTATGATTATTATTCAAATCCAGTCAATTTGGAGAGGACTGCTCAGTATAGAACCTGTTCACAAGATATACTAACTCACTGATAACCGGCTATTGAGAAACTATGAGTCAAGTAATTTGGAACTAAATAACTAAGAAATGTGCTAGATGATTTATTTCATTTCATATACTTTCAGATTGGAAGAAAATCAA